TTGTAACTTCTGTGAGGTCTTTGCATACACGCTCTACTCTTCCATTTCCTGCCGTCAGAACTAGAGGCTCCCTGCTCTGTGCTTGCACACTTCTATTAAAGCACTTTCACAGTTTTCTCATTAGTTGTTCGCAGTTTTCTTTTCCACTAGATTGTGAGTTACCTAAGTGCAAGGGAAGTGTCTTGTTTCCATAGTTCAAACGTCTAGCACAGAAAAGGCAGATAGTGGTTATACAAGAAATACTTGTTTTATTAATTGATTTACAATAAGCATCTAATGAGTACCCAGGTAAGAGCAGCATTCTAATACATTTTGGGGGATAGTCAGAAGCTAGTATAGGATGTGAATAAATGCTGAATAATTGTCGTCATTATTTTCAGTTCTCAAAAAGCTTGAAATTGAAGTAGGCAAGATAAACATCCAGAATAAACTATCCAAGATAGGTATATTCAACATATGCATTTTCCTTTCTTATGCAACCTTAAGTCCCAAGAAGCATTTTCCAACTACTGCAACCTATATTTATCTCCGTGTTTCTGTTACTTTTCTGTGTTATCTAGTCAGGTTCTAAATCTATGCTTCACTGACTGTTCATTAGTTTTTGGATGTACATTTTGTCTTTCTTTCTGATTATAAAGATTATATGGTCTTTTAGGCAGGACAGGGGTTACATTGTCTACTTTGAACTTTATCTGCAGAACATAGTGAGAAGTGGCATACATAGTACGTCCTCACTGATTATTTGTGGAATGTGTAGGGGTACAGAATGAACCTCCTCAGAATGTGTCACTTTTGTATGAAGATTATTTTGAGCTGGGGTTAGTCGAGTCCCTGCAAGTTCAAGAGAAACTATTGCCTCTCCCTTAATTATCTAAAAGAAATTAAATTGGAAATTTTTCCCAGGAAAGAGTTATTACCAGAGATAAATTTTATCTAAGTGGCCACATGTATATGGCAGGGCAAACATCTAACTTCCAAACTTTTCTTCTTAACATCCTGTGAATAACCCTCCTATCCTTGGAAACCTGGGGCCCCATGCCATCCCTTAGCTCAGGATGGCATCTTTACCTCATTTTACCCTTCTGTCTTAGAATCTCTCATGTAGGTAGAGTTCCTATATGTGCCAAATTAAATTTTATTTTCTCCTGTTAATGTCTCATGTCAGTTTAATTCTTAGACCAGCCAGAAGAACCTAAAAGTGTAGAAGAAAGTTTTCTTCCTCCCCAACAAATGAATAAAAGCAAATTCACATCATTAAACACTGTAAATACTACAAAAATAAATGAACTTGTGTATTAAGTCACAAAAAGCAATTCCTCTAAATATTTTTTGTATGAATTTTGCTATGGGTGAATACCACACAAAAACGTTTTACTGCAATTAAAAGAAATCTTTAATATGTAATGAGATGTTGATTGCCTTGATATTAGTAAAAGATGTTATTTCAGTTTAATTTGATCGAGACCAGGGGAGCAAGAAAAACATTGCTTCACTTATATCATGGCATTTGCTCTTCTGTTTCATTTTGATAGTTGGAATATAGAATTACCACCACATGGGACAGTTTACCAGTGCTGCAAAAGCCTATGACTCCCAAGTTTAGATCTGGGGTCCAAGGCTTACTGATGGACCTGAATGCTCCTTTCTTTGATGATCCCCCAGCACCACATTGTGAAGCAGGACAACCTTTTGATGGACTCTGAAAGTATGAAGGTGAGACATTTCCTATTTTGAGTGCCAAAGCTGAGAGAAAGAGCAGATTTTGTGATACATGGTAGTGTTCTCTTGTAATATCTATTCATCTTCTCAGAGTTTCCAAATACCTCATGCTCCACATCCTGAATATCTGAAAATTCAATGACATGGAAAGATGGGGTCAAAAACTGTATGACCTGGAATTAGAGATTTTGGAGTGAACAGTCTATATCTGATAGGCACTTAAGAAAATTACTTGTGAAACAGTATTAATTAGCAATTCATGTGAAAATGTTAGTCCAAGTATTAAATATAGATAATTGATTTATTTCAGGTGTTGAGTGGTATTTGTAAAGCATGCATCTTTAAATTTAAATTGATGGTATCTTCTAAGTTCTAGAACTATAAAACTCTATCTTTTAAAAACTTCATAGTAGTACCGTGATACTTATTTCTAAAAAAAAGTAGCTGTATATTTTGAGAAGGATTTTCCATCCAGATATTTTATGTTTTTGTAATTTACAGTTTTCATTGAATAACTTAGGGGAAATAAGATGATCTTTTCATGGAATCATAGTGTACTGGAACTCTACCTGTGAGGATCTATTAGTCTTGCTACCTTAAACATACCTGTGTCTACATCTGAGGCCTCTTGATTCCAAATCCAAAACCTTCCAATATGTGCTGTTGTCCTGTTTAAAAATTCACTTCTTGATGTACTAGAATTTAATAAGAAATTCTTTCTCTAAAATCTCTCTTGAAACCATATTTACAACTTTGTTGTGGACATCAAAACCTGAATATATTCTTTCTTTACCCAAACTTCTCATGGTAAATCTGAGCTTGTCCTCATACACAATCACTTTTATTTCTGACTTTACAGTTTCTGTTGAGTTATTCTCCAGGTTACCAGCCTTGAGATCCTGATGTCATCATGATCTCTTCTTTTTTTCTCCCCCTCAAACATTTATCGCGTTCTGTTGATTCTTCTCTGGGGATGTCTCTTGACCATGCCCTTTCGTGTCCATCCTCAGCATGACTTCTTAAGGATTGTCTAGACTATTATAGTGTGCTTTCAGGTGGTGTTTCTGCTCCCAGCGTCTCACTGATCCTGATTATCCTATCCACAGTGACCTGGCTGGTGCTCCTAAAATGCTGTTTTGATTATGTTACTCCATTTTTTCAAGAAGATTAATAGCTCCATTTTGCTTGCAGGGTTAAGCCCCAAATTGTTAGATTGCTATTCAAGGCATGTGATTGGCTTTTCCTCAAACTGTGTTCAATTACTGTCCTTCCAGAAACCTCTGCCTCAACTAAGCAGGTCTGCGCGTTTTAAGTTAAATAACTAGAACCTTTGAGCACACAGAGTTTTCCTTTCTTTCTGCCTACCCAAACCCTCTCTTTTTGACCTGACTGAAATGTTACCTCTCCTGTGAAGCCTTCTAAGATAATCCAGTTCATAGTGATTACTCTACCTTTTGAACTGCTACTATATGTATAAAAAAAGAGAGATGTGCTGTTCCATTTTTTTTAGAAATTTATTATATGCTGCTTTGTGGCATTTACATATCCCCATATTGAATTTTCTGTAGTATTTTTGCCTGCAGTTTAAACTCTTAGGTACTGTCTTGTTTCCTTTATTATATTTAAAACTGTTTGAAGGCAGGAACATGTATTTTCTGTCCCCTGAGTGGATTTACTATAAAGCTAATGAAGGTTATGCTTCAGGGCTTATACTTGCATAGGTCCCTTCTAAAGTTCTCTGTCTAATTTTGTTTTCATAGTTTTATATTTTTTCTTTCAGACAGAGTCCTCCCAAATTGTATAAGCTTCTAGTCCCATAAGTCCTAGATCCACCTCTGAATGGGAATGAAAGCTAACAATTAATATTCATTTTGTGCTTATGTTGTGGCACTTTTTTCTATAGTGTATCTGTTTAGCTACAGATAGAAAGAACTCCCCTCCTCTGTGCCATTCAAATCCTAATATAATTAATTACATTAATTTCCTTATTTGTAAAAACAATGAATACAGAAATCTGGCAGAAACAAGCACATGCAAAGCAGGAGAAAATACAGGAGCTCTCTCAGCAGCTTCCTTTGGACCCCAAAGTCTTGATAATGACATGGTCCTAGCAGGGCTCAGTCATGAAGGGTCTCAGAAGGTGAATGATTTGTTATGCGGTGGCCTTTTATGGTTGGGATTTAAGTTATCATTCAAGAAAATCTTACACTAGCAGTAACGTGTCCTTAACCAGAAATATTTGGAGACGTGTGAATTCTCCTGGTTCTCAAGCCTTCCTTGGCATTTGAAAGTCACAGTCTTAACAGGATAGGGGTAGAAGAATGGAGACACTGCAGTGCGTAGGATGCCCTGAGCAGAATCTCTGTCCTCAGCTGGACAGCATTCTGGTGAGTGCTTTGCAAGTATTGTTTCGTTTAATCATCATGGCAATTCTGTGAGAAAGGCATGGTTACTATCACCATTTTACAAATGAGGAAGCAGAGGCTCAGAGAAGTTCATTATCTTACCTAAGATCACACAGTACATAAATAATGGAGCTAGTACTCAAAAAGCCAGGTTGTCTGATTTTATAACTAGAATGTTAAAAATTCCTCATAGTAGATGAATTAGTTTGTACTATCTTTTAAAAACATTATTTTTGAAATCCTCTTTTTATTTACTTACATCCCTCAAGTCTGTTCATTGACATTAGTTTTGAAAAATATGTTGAGGGGAAAAAAAAGATTCCAGTGGAAGAAGTTTTGGAAAACACTGCAAACTCTGTTTGTCCCTTGGAGAGTCACTATGAATATTATTAATATACTAGTAATTCCCAAATCTTTCAGAAGAGACATCTGTTTCATATTATTAATCCAACATACACAAGTGTATTTTCCATTGTTACTTATATATATAAATACTTAATATATAAACTATATATTT